GATGTTTGATGAACGTAGGCATTTATGTTTTAACTTTTTCAGGTGGGGTATAAAAGTGAGCCTTTTATCAAATATTATTCCTAGAAACTTGAGCGCCTCCTTTACAGAAATAGCCACATCAGTTAAGTGCAACACTGGATCTGGAGACAGGCCACGGCGGAGTGAAAAGGGAACGCAGACTGTCTTTTCAGGAGAGAAGCTGAAGCCATTTCGATCAGCCCACTTGCTCATCTTATTGATTGTGAGCTGCAATTGCCGTTCACAGCTGGACAGGTTACAAGAGGAAAATGATATCTGCACATCATCCACATACATTGAATAGGATACAGATGGTGCTATAACCTTAGCCAAACTATTAATCTTCACGGCAAAAAGTGTAACGCTTAGTACTCCACCCTGAGGGACGCCGTTCTCGTGGAGAAATACATCCGATAGGATGGAGCCCAATCGCACTTGGAAGGTACAATCCGTCAAGAAACTTTGAATACAACGAAGCATGCGACCTCGGACACCATATAAATACAAGTCTCGAAGGATCCCATATTTCCAAGTCGTATCATAAGCCTTTTGTAGATCAAAGAAGACAGAAACAGAGTGCTGGCGATGAACGAATGCTACCCGAATAGAAGTTTCCAAGCGGACAAGGTGATCTATCGTGGAGTGGCCCGCTCGGAAGCCGCACTGATTTCTCTCAAACACACCCTCTGCCTCTAAAAAAATGTACAAGACGGCGATTAATGAGTCTCTCGTAGGTCTTGCCAAGGCAGCTTGTCAGTGCAATTGGGCGGTAGCTTGTCGGTGACGAGGGGTCTGGTAGGTTTTAGTAGAGGGATTATGTGTGAATTTTTCCAACAGTCAGGAAAAGAAGCAGCATCCCACAATAAATTAAAAAAAGTGAGCAAACTGTTTAGAGATTCAGGCGATAGTCTCCTTAGCATCTCGTATTGAATCCTATCCGGCTCAGCTGCAGATTCTTTTTTGACGCCAAGAGCCAACTCAAGCTCACACCGTGTAAATGGCTTGTTATAGGGAACACCCTAGGCACCAGAAAAAGAAATAGCTTGTTTTTCTGCTGTTGCTCTAAACCTCTTAAAAGATTCACTCTAGTTGGCTGAGTTAGAGACTTCCTGGAAGTGTTCACCAAGAACATTTGCTTGTTCCTTAAGGGATGTTGCTGGTGGAAAAAGGGCTATCCTGAAAGACCGATAGTCTCCCCTGATCTTCCTAAGACGATCCCACACTTCCTTTGATGAAACGAAATTACTCAGAGATGTGACATACTTTTTCCAAGAACTGCCTTTAGCTTGCCTTCGCACCCAGCGAGCTTTGGCTCTGGTTTTCTTGAATTCAAGCAGATTCCGTGGAGTGGGATATCGTCTAAAGATGCACCGCGCCTTGTTTTGCGATTTCCGTGTTGTGGTGCAGTCATTGTTCCACCACGGCTTGCACTTTTTGGGGAGTCGTCCAGAGGTCTGGGAAATGCTTTGTGATGCGGAATCTATAATCGCTCCAGTAACGTACAGCGTGGCATATTCGGGGCTCATGTTAACAAGAACAGATGAATCGATAAAAGCCTCCAAACAAAAAAGAGATCAATCAGCCTTTTACAATTTCCACCTTGGAAGTCGTGTCGGAATAGAAGGAATTGGCATCGTGCTTTCTATAACAATAGGGAAATGATCACTCCCAAAGGGATTATTTAAAACCTTCCATAAAAAGCATGGAAGTAAAATCGGTGATGATATAGAAAGGTCAATAGATGTAAACGATTGATGAGTTGCACTGAAAAATGTGGGTTCCCTCTCATTAAAAAGACACAACCCAGATGATAATAAAAACCGCTCTATGACACCTCCGCGTGAATCCTGGCGAGAACTACCCCACAAAGGGTGGTGGGCATTAAAATCGCCTAAAATTAAAAAAAAAGGTTGAGGTAATTGTTTTACTAGTAACTCAAGTTCACTGATATGCAGTTGAGAGTTAGGTGGCAAATAAAGAGAAACTACAGTTATCAAACGGTCAACAAGAAGGCGCACCGCTACAGCCTCCAAAGGCGTAGAAAGGGGGACCTCCGAGCAAGCAACACCACTCTGCACCATAGTGCCACTCCTCTAGACATATTAGGGGAGAGTATATCGTTTCTAAAAACTTGGTGCTGACGTAAAATCTGTGTATGAGTGCAAAGGGTCTCAGCTCGTCCATAAAATAATTTACATCATCTATATTTCTGATTAGGCCCCGGCAAATCCACTGCATAAAATGGAAATTGGTCATCGTTTTAAAAGGAGTTAACATACGAATAAAGAAGATACACTGGGAAAATAAATAAAATCTCTAAAGCTGCCGCATGTGGCAAAGATTAATTTACAATGTCACGTTGGAGGGATCACAGGATTTTGCTTTTGTGTTTACTCTTTGAAGTCTGCCACTCCATGTCGTCTTGGTCAGGCGCATGAGTGGAGACTTCTCTACACTCATCCATGGCCTCAGTTTCCTGAGGCAAGGCTTTTCCTCTAGGTTTGTTTGGGTTTGGTGAAGGGGGCGCCATGCCCCGCCGACGACCAGCCAAAGGGGCAGCGGAGGTGCTGGGCGAGGCGTCACCCAGGTCCACCCGTCCCTGCCCCTTAGGCGCTGCAGGAGCGGCACGAGAGCCATGCCGCTCTTTTGATGATGCTTTCTCCAGGGAGTGTGTGCGAGAGTGACGACCCTTTTCCCTGGAAGGAGACTGCGGAGGAGGGACGGTTGCGGTAGCCACCGGCCCATCCTGGGTCTGGGAAACAGCCTGAGAGAATGAAGGTTTTTGTCCCGTTGGAGTACGAAGGTCCGCACTCTGGCTGGAAGGGTCGGTGGACCGCCCAGCCGAAATTGCACGCCCCGGAAGCTGAATCTTCAGCTGGGGCGTGGGAGACTGCAGTGGCCTCCCATAGTCCAGAAAGGATGTAAAAGTGGCCGCTGCTACCATCAGTGGTGCAGGTCCCCGCTGCACCACCTGCGCAAAACTGCCTTTACGCAAGAATCCAAAGTGACGGCGTGCCTCTGGGTAGGAGAGGTTTTTCCTTCACTTTGAGTGTAAGTATCTCCTTCTCCTCCTTCCACGTTCTGCAGGATCGAGAATATGTTGGATGGGGATCACCGTAGTTCACACAGTGTGCGTCGTTGGTGCAAGTGTCTGTGAGGTGGTCATTCTTGGCACATTTGGCACAAGTGGCTTTTCCACGGCATTGCTGGGAACCATGGCCAAACCTCCGGCATTTGAAACACCTACGAGGTTTAGGCACATAGGGCCGAACCTTGCAGTGGAGATAGCCAGCTTTCACGGCCTCTGGAAGTGTGGCGGACTCAAATGTTAGGACTATGTGCTTTGTCTTCTGTTCTGTGCTATCACGACGAATTGTGATTCGTCGTGCAGCGACAACTCATTGGCTAGAGAGGCCCTCCACCAGCTCTGTGTCACATGTGTCTAGCAGGTCATCCTCGGAGATTACTCCTTGGACGGTGTTCAGTTTGCGGTGAGGGGCGACACTGATTTTATAGTCTGACACAGAGTTAAGACCCAAGAGGGCATCACTCTGCTGCTTTGTACTGATTTCTACAAGGTCTCCAGACGCCAATTTCTTTGCATTGAAGTTTTTGCCAACAACTCTCCCTAAAGCCTTAGCTACAAGGAAGGGGGACAGTTTGCCCAGTGGCTTTTCATTTTCAAAATGAAGAACAAGAAACCTTGGAAATTTTTCAGAAACAAATGACTTTTTAGACTGGAGTGGTACTTAGGTGCGGACCCTTTTCGGGGCCCGATCAGAAGGTTTTTTAGTTTGCAGACCCATAAAGATGGGGAAGAATATTCAGTGCCCGGGTGCACCGCCCACCACAGAGCCCAACAAGGGGGTAGGTAATGTGCCATAGCAAAAAAGGCTTGGCTGACACAATTACTCTACGAGTGCTGCCCGGGCACTATACCCTAGTGTGGTTGCGGGGACAGGACCTGTTTCCACTCAGGGTTGGCCCTTGCCACCTAAGAAGGTGAAAAACGAAGGAAGAGAGTATGGATGAAAAGAGAAAGAGGTGGTAGGAAAAGTGAAAGAAGGAAGAAGAGGGTAGAAGAGGCGACTGGCTGAATCATCCTGGTCGGGCCAACCCAGGACACTCGTCTACGAGAAGCAGGAGCCGAAGCGGTGTATTGCCTCGCCCGGGGGGTCCCGAAGGGTCCAAGCAAACCCCGGGCTCAGCTCAACCACCAGGGTCCCCCTTTCCTCGGACACGGGTTAAGGCACGCACAGCCAGACGTGGGTGGGCGAACCCAAATGGCTCTGGGTTCGTAGTGACGCCACTCACCAAGCACCTACTAAAGTAGGTGCCCTTTGCGTGCGGGTAAGGTGGCCCACGTGGCTGGGGTCCGTGGTGACGCTACTCACCAAGCACCTAGCACCCAAGGTGCAGGCGTACCCTGCGGGGCTCGGGGTCCGTGGAGAACCCACTCTCCAAACACCTGCTTTCACAGGTGCCCCCTGCGGGAGGGAAAAAAAAATTCAAAGTCGGAACTTTTTAAAAATATAACACTAAGTTAGGAAACAACGAAGATATCAGAGTGCAAGTCTCGTTTGCTAATCGATAATATGTTTATGTTGTTTGTGAGGCATTTATGTAAAACTTGTGGTACATTATAATGTAAAGTTTGTTAGTTGTAGTTTGTGCGGGAACAGGAGAGGACCCATGCTTCTCTGCGGCGGATGTTGACATCACTGCTATGCCTTGGAGTGCCTATCAGGAATGGTTATACAACATAATTCACATTAAATTATGTTTTGCAAGATGTCTAGGCCTAAAACAAGAGAAAACGATAATTTTAGAACTACTGGGCACTCCAATATGAAACTTATCACTTGCTTTCATATCTGTGCTAAGGATTGCACGGTCCTCGTTCGATTCCCCAGGCCCGTGTCTCCAAATAAAGTGACACAGCGACGCGTATCTCTCGGAAGAACGGGTTTATTCCACTCACATTCTGCTGGAGGATTTCGCGATCGGGAGAGGTGATCGAGGAAGCCTGGAAGGGGTGCGCCGCCACTGTTTGCTGCTTGCCGATCGTCCCTGCGGTGCTAGTCCACACTGCATCCTGTGGACGTCGCCGTCGAGGGTCGAATTTGGGGTCTAAGTCAGGTCCATGTCACCGGGCCGTCGCCCGTGCCGACGTCGCGGTCGCCACCACCGCGAACGTCCGTTGTGGCCCGTTTCCCGCGCAAGAGTCCCCACTTCCCATCTACCGTCGCCCGTCGTCCCAGCTTGCCGCGCACCAGACAGACGAGAGCCTCTTGTCTCCCATCGTGGGCGGTCTCTCGCTGGAGCTCCCCGTCTGGCTCTGTCGCAGTTCGTGCAGGGCCTTGGGCGCCGACGCTGTCTGGGAGGGGGGTCCTAGGCTGTCCACCGTCGACACTGCCAATGTCTTCACTCGGGCAACAAACTTTAAATGTGCCGTCCTCGCCACGGAGCGGACCGAAAAGGAGTCGCCAGGCGCCGGCGTCCGGTTGTCGACCAGATGGGGGCTGACGAGACCCCACAGGATGTAACCTGAAAATTTCACACAGATAGCTCTAAAGTAAAAAACAAAACAAAAAAACTTTGTTGCTTACTTCTTCTTTTATAAGAACTCGAACAAAATGAAAAACACAAATACACTCGCGCAGGCAAGCACGCATACATACACGCGCACACACAGACACCCGTTTCACATGCGCGCACACACACACGGCGCACAGCCGCATGCCCGCATACGGACACACGCACACACGTATACAGACCACGCGAGCGCGTACATACGTACCCACGCACACACAGGCACACAAATGCACGCACAGACCCAACACACGCACGCGCAAACACAAGAATTGCCTTTGAAATCGTCTGCAAACAATATCGAAGCTTCTACATGTAATTTTGGTTTCTTCTCTTGAGCGGCAAATTGTTAAAGTGGAGTCGAGCTGGTTCGTATTAATCAAGATGTTTAAACCTTAAGAATAGAAAGGAAACTCGGAGAACAATATATTAGAAGAAGCAGAAGGTTACAGACAAGCGTCTCAAACCCAGCTAGCAAAATTATTTCATAAATCACTTGTAAGTATAATGTGAATCAAAGTTGTAGGCCGCAGCCAAAGCCAGCCAAAATCAATTCGAATGTCGAGGATCTGAATCTGCGGCAGGGGACGTTTTGACTTATATAAAGGTGCTATCGTATCTGCGACATCTTTTTAAAGCATTCGTAAATCATCCGGGGAGCTCATAAGCGCATATCGATCTCACGAACACTTCTAGAGCTTGTTTATTGTTGAAGTTTGATGGTGGTGGCCACATAAAACTGACTGATTTTTTTTGTTTCCAGTTTTCAACGGTTTGGATCAAACACTGCTCGGTGGCGGCGGTTACGTTATAAATTACTTGTTCGCTGTCACAATGCCGACAGCTGTGCTCTTGTGTCAGCACTGAGAGCTATTGGAACTCAGCAAGCAGGAAACCGGAGCGCTTTATCATTAGAGCGTTTGGCATTTAATAGACCGCAATCTAGAGCTACGCTTCGCTAGCGGGCGTTCGTGCCGTCAATTTAAGGCTTGAATCGAGCAATAGTCCCTTATATACTGGCCAAGCCTGGCAGATCGCCACGAGAAGTGGCCGCCAAAATGGAAACGGTAGAGAGGCAGACAATGGATGGGAGGAGAGCCAGGTGACTGGTGCGCCTCTGCGGCGAGACGCTGAAACACTGCTCCTGAGGGAACAGATGTGTTTCGGGCCCTCACCGCTGCAAAAGCTGTGCGCTGAAGTCCAGGTTCACCGAGAAATGACTCTATGATGCTCTGTGGTACCAGATCCTAGCGCTCCAAATCTGCGACCGGGCACTCCATGGCTACGTCATCGACCTGCAAGGCTTTGTGGGTATATAGAAGGCTATGATTGAGCACACGCCCGCTGGGCCCGGTCTCCGCAGCGTACCGATCCACTAAAACTCTCTCATCTTTCGTTTTTAATGCGAAAGCATTAACTGGGGGTCCCATGGAGCGAGCCGACGTCATAAGTTTGAAGCGCGCAAACGGCACCTTAAATCCTTTCTCCAAGTGCAGCCAGCTCCCAGCTGTAAAACCATGCGCAATGCCTAGACAACGGCACCTAGTTTCCTCGATCCCAAAGGAGCAGAGTAAAGCTGATGGATTTCGTCTACGGTCCCATTGGCTGGCGCGCGTCGACGAGGCTCCTATTAGTCGCAGCGCGCGCCATTTTTTGACGACCGCCGCCCCTTGGCCCTGGGTGTACGCGCCGCGAGGGCGCCTGTAACACGAAGCGTCCAAGACCAGAGCTGCGAGGAGAGATTGGAGAGCGCGCGCACGGCCGACGCCAATACGCCGCCAACGAAACACGGGAGCGGAAGAACGGCACGCATGCTCTCGCATTCACAACTCATAACAGGTGCTTAGGTGTATCTCGAGCCTGCTTTTTCCCGCTTTGTCTAAATGTACGTAAGAAGTACCTGACCGAATTTCTTAAAGCTAGGTCGGAAGTACGCGGCCGATTATTCCGAAGGTACGTCGGACGGATCCGGCGATCAGGTACGTCATACCTCTACGGTAGAGATCGCAAATATAAAGACGGCGCCTGTTGCGCGATGAGGACTGAGGAGCCCAATGAGGGCCCTCGGGGCCATGTTTCGTAGTCAGCGCGAGCCTACGCTATGAGTGACAAGCGCACGGACACGGCAACCTTAGCCGCGCTAGCGCATCCATCCGTCAGCTCAGTTCGCGAGTGAAAATTTAGAATATTGTAACTACGTTAAAAACAATGCAAAGACAGGAGTGCAGCAGGAAAAAGTGTGAGCTTTGATATCGGTTGCCCGTAGGAAAAGGAAAAAAAAAGCGCCAGGAAAACGTAAAGGAAAATCAATGAAAAAGTATACGATACGCTACTTTTATTCGACGTCTGGCGCCTGTTTCTTTTTTTACAAAATCAAGCTAAAAATGCCAGGGCCGGCTTGCTAGAACAGCGTCTCAGCTGAAACTGGGGGAAAAAAGCACTGTAAAGGCTGGGGCGCATGAGCGTCTTGAGACGCGGTTTGAGTCCCGCTTAACTCGTGCGCTGGCTTTAGCAGTGCTCTCTTTTACGCAATCTCAACTGAGGAGCTGTTTCTAGCAGGCCGGCCCAGATACCAACCTTGATAGTGATTTTGCTGCTTCGCGTTTGTTAAAGCCTCGCGCGAATGATCTGGGCAGGACACGCGAACTCTGGGGTTGGAGATCTGCCTCTATGCCCGCCATTCTGAGCAGCCACGAAGCATGTGAACGCAGCACATGTTTTCCTCCGAACCTAATATATTCCGCTTTGTGCCGCACAGGTTCGACATACATTTAAGAGTACCGGCCGGCCAATACTTCGTTTCAGCTTAGGCCCAGATGCAGCTGATAATATAAGCGAGAGCATGCGGCATTGATCAGTGCCTGGGCTGCACGAGCGTGCGTACTTGGCAGGGACGCTGAAGGCCCGGAAGTCGCGCTTGGAGCATCGGCTGCGTCTGGCTTAAGCTGAAACAATGTTTCGTACACCCGCCGGCAATATGAAGGTGAACACCTTACGTGATTTCTTGCCTGTTTTACGGCCGCCTAAAGCTATATCAACTCTCAACGTCTCAAATGGTACGTTTCTTGGGGTCTAAACTTTGCATTCTAGCCCGCTTCTGGAACAGAGCTTGTCCCAAAACTTATAGGAGCGTCAAAAACAAGAAAAGGGCTGTTCACCTTCATATCGCTCACCGGTGTACGTCCGACATACGTTAAAACAAAATCGGTTGGGTACATCTGTGTCTGACGTACCCGACCGAATTTTTACCTTACATTACCTTTACCTTAGATTACCTTAAGACACAAATTGTTTTACTTACCGGAATAAAAAAAAAAGTGTTGAAACTTATCAGAGTCTTTGCGCGATCTATCTGGTAGCAGAAATTGAGATATCAGACAGGGTATTTTGCTTTCACGTATCTTTTGAATTGCATTCACAGGGCAAATTCTCGGGTTGTTTTAGCATCAGCGAGTTAAGCATTAATATTTTCTTTTGGCGTTGTGTCGTGGTAATGTTGTATGGCGACGCGACAACGGGCCGATCCTCCGTTTTCAACTTCTCCACATGGACGGTTATACAAATTGTGAGTTAAAGACCAGCACAAGCATCAGGGCCAATAAATGTGATGTGGTGGCCATTATTTTAACGGATGTAATTGATATCAGAATATAATAAGAATTCTGCAGAGATCCTTTCATTTATGAGAATAAAAAAACTTTAGAAAACAAATACAGACAAGTTCCATTTTTAATTAAGAACACTGTAAAGTTTTGGACGCAAAAATAGAGTGTACTGATCCAGATACAGGGAGTGTGAAGGTGTCTGTGCTGCAGTGCTGAATTTCTGCGTCCCGAGCTAGACATTACTAGGGTGCCTTCATGTGCGCTTCACATAGAGTGATGCCAACTGCCTGTTTGCCTTTCCCACACCCTCTTCCACCGCCATTTTGTTCCTCTCATTGTTTCCACGTGCATCGGAAAGTGACCTTTGTGTCCATCGGTTCTTCCATCCGAGGAGGAAATGCTAATCCTCCTTCCGTGGGTTCCACAACGCTGCTCCAAACTTGTGAAATAAGGTGCTTGTTTTCGGGAGGGTTATAAGCCCCACAGATTATCACCGAGAACCAAAATGGCTGCTGGTTTGTCGGCGAGTGGTATTACAAAGGGTGGCATCACCATAGCAAAGCGCACGTGAAGGCTCCCTAGACATTACTTCTTAACCAAGGAGAGTGGTGGTTCTTATTTGTCTTCATATGTTTTTAAATATTTTTCTGTATCTTAGCAGGGTAAGGTAACCATTTTTAGTAATTCGCAAGCACTATAAATTCCAGGATTTTCGTGCTGCATGTAAGTGATACGACCTTTGTTTTCTTTTTAGCTTAGGGGAACACAGCTGCTGACCAGGGGACCTATGTTGGACAAATGTTTCGTTTCTCCTAAAAGAAGCGGAAGTGACGACATCGCGTCTGATTGGTTGAGGCTCGAATGACGAAAGTTCACTACGAAAATGTGGGCGGAGACGGCGAATCGCCGCCACTGGAAGTGACAACACTTTGACGTATCGTTTCCTCGGTGTTTCGCCTGAAAAGGGAACGAGTCTGTCGATGGTCTCTTCGCGGTAGCGAAATTGGAAACACGGCGTCTCGGAGGCAGAGCGACAGTCTTTCTATCGTTCAACTTTATTTTTCCCCTCCGGAAAGGCTCCACCGGCTGCACCGCGACACCGCGATGCCTTTGAACTACCGGAGGAAGCTTTTCGGAGGCAGTACCGTCTCACCAAGAATGTGGTCCGTTGGTTGTGCGACGAACTGCGCGAGGAGCCAGAATTGAGGCTGCGAGGTTCGTGGACGGTGATGTCTGTGGAACAGCAAGTGTTGTGCGCACTTCGCTTTTACGCCACGGGGAGCAAACTGTGCGGGGAGCTTTCAGAGCATGGTGGCGAGAGACGAGCACATAGCGAGGAATCAGGCTACAGTCGGCATCGTTGTGCGGGCTGT